ATCCCCCCTGTCAGCACCCATGGGTGCTGTGGACCTTGAGGACCGCTTGTATGTTCTCCATTGGGACCTTTAGGAGGTCAATGGGTGCCTATAGTGTCCCCCAAGCAGCACCCATGGGTGCTGGTGGCCTCGAGGACCACTTGGATGCTCTCCATAGTCACCCATAGCACCTCACTGGTGGTACTTCGTGTTCCCTTTAGAGCTCCATGGGTGCCTGTAGTGCTCCCAAGTAGCACCCATGGGTGCTGGGGACCTTGAGGACCGCTTGTATGTTCTCCATTGGGACCTTTAGGAGATCCATGGGTGCCAGTTGTGTCCCCCAAGCAGCACCCATGGGTGCTGGTGTCCTCGTGTACCACTTGGATGCTCTCCATAGTCACCCATAGCACCTCACTGGTGGTACTTCGCGTTCCCTTTAGAGCTCCATGGGTGCCTGTAGCCCCCCCCTTGGCAGCACCCATGGGTGCTGAGGACCTTGAGGACCACTTGGAGGTTCTCAATTGGGACCTTTAGGAGATCCATGGATGCCTATAGTGTCCTCAAGCAGCACCCATGGGTGCTGGGGACCTTGAGGACCGCTTGTATGTTCTCCATTGGGACCTTTATGAGGTCAATGGGCGCCTATAGTGTCCCCAAGCAGCACCCATGGGTGCTGGTGCCCTCAAGGACCACTTGGATGCTCTCCATAGTCACCCATAGCACCTCACTGGTGGTACTTCGCGTTCCCTTTAGAGCTCCATGGGTGCCTGTAGCGCCCCTTGGCAGCACCCATGGGTGCTGTGGGCCTCGAGGACCACTTGGATGCTCTCCATAGTCACCCATAGCACCTCACTGGTGGTACTTCGCGTTCCCTTTAGACCTCCATGGGTGCCTGTAGCGCCCCTTGGCAGCACCCATGGGTGCTGGTGGCCTTGAGGACCACTTGTATGTTCTCCATTGGGACCTTTAGGAGGTCAATGGGTGCCTATAGTGTCCCCCAAGTAGCACCCATGGGTGCTGGTGCCCTCAAGGACCACTTGGATGCTCTCCATAGTCACCCATAGCACCTCACTGGTGGTACTTCGCGTTCCCTTTAGAGCTCCATGGGTGCCTGTAGTGCTCCCAAGTAGCACCCATGGGTGCTGGGGGCCTCGAGGACCACTTGGATGCTCTCCATAGTCACCCATAGCACCTCACTGGTGGTACTTCGCGTTCCCTTTAGAGCTCCATGGGTGCCTGTAGCACCCCCTGGCAGCACCCATGGGTGCTGGTGGCCTCGAGGACCACTTGGATGCTCTCCATAGTCACCCATAGCACCTCACTGGTGGTACTTCGCGTTCCCTTTAGACCTCCATGGGTGCCTGTAGCGCCCCTTGGCAGCACCCATGGGTGCTGGTGGCCTTGAGGACCACTTGTATGTTCTCCATTGGGACCTTTAGGAGGTCAATGGGTGGCTATAGTGTCCCCCAAGTAGCACCCATGGGTGCTGGTGCCCTCAAGGACCACTTGGATGCTCTCCATAGTCACCCATAGCACCTCACTGGTGGTACTTCGCGTTCCCTTTAGAGCTCCATGGGTGCCTGTAGTGCTCCCAAGTAGCACCCATGGGTGCTGGGGGCCTCGAGGACCACTTGGATGCTCTCCATAGTCACCCATAGCACCTCACTGGTGGTACTTCGCGTTCCCTTTAGAGCTCCATGGGTGCCTGTAGCATCCCCAAGTAGCACCCATGGGTGCTGTGGACCTTGAAGACCCCTTGTATGTTCTCCATTGGGACCTTTATGAGGTCAATGGGTGCCTATAGTGTCTCCTAAGTAGCACCCATGGGTGCTGGTGGCCTCAAGGACCACTTGGATGCTCTCCATAGTCACCCATAGCACCTCACTGGTGGTACTTCGCGTTCCCTTTAGAGCTCCATGGGTGCCTATAGTGCCCCCAAGTAGCACCCATGGGTGCTGGGGACCTTGAGGACCGCTTGTATGTTCTCCATTGGGACCTTTAGGAGGTCCAGGGTGCCTGTAGTGCCCCCAAGCAGCACCCATGGGTGCTGGTGGCCTCAAGTACCACTTGGATGCTCTCCATAGTCACCCATAGCATCTCACTGGTGGTACTTCGCGTTCCCTTTAGACCTCCATGGGTGCCTGTAGCATCCCCAAGTAGCACCCATGGGTGCTGGGGACCTCGAGGACTGCTTGTATGTTCTCCATTGGGACCTTTAGGAGGTCCAGGGTGCCTGTAGTGCTCCCAAGTAGCACTCATGGGTGCTGGGGGCCTGAGGAGCACCCTAGGTTCTCCATTGGGACCTTTAGGAGGTCAATGGGTTCCTATAGTGTCTCCTAAGTAGCACCCATGGGTGCTGTGGACCTCGAGTACCACTTGGATGCTCTCCATAATCACCCATAGCATCTCATTGGTGGTACTTCACGATCCCTGTGGCAGTCCATGAGTGCCTGTATTGCTCCCAAGTAGCACCCATGGGTGCTGGGGGCCCTGAGGAGCACCCTAGGTTCTTCATTGGGACCTTTAGGAGGTCAATGGGTGCCTATAGTGTCTCACAAGTAGCACCCATGGGTGCTGGTGGCCTCGAGGACCACTTGGATGCTCTCCATAATCACCCATAGCATCTCACTGGTGGTACTTCGCGTTCTCTTTAGACCTCCATGGGTGCCTGTAGCGCCCCTTGGCAGCACCCATGGGTGCTGGTGGCCTTGAGGACCACTTGTATGTTCTCCATTGGGACCTTTAGGAGGTCAATGGGTGCCTATAGTGTCCCCCAAGTAGCACCCATGGGTGCTGGTGCCCTCAAGGACCACTTGGATGCTCTCCATAGTCACCCATAGCACCTCACTGGTGGTACTTCGCGTTCCCTTTAGAGCTCCATGGGTGCCTGTAGTGCTCCCAAGTAGCACCCATGGGTGCTGGGGGCCTCGAGGACCACTTGGATGCTCTCCATAGTCACCCATAGCACCTCACTGGTGGTACTTCGCGTTCCCTTTAGAGCTCCATGGGTGCCTGTAGCATCCCCAAGTAGCACCCATGGGTGCTGTGGACCTTGAAGACCCCTTGTATGTTCTCCATTGGGACCTTTATGAGGTCAATGGGTGCCTATAGTGTCTCCTAAGTAGCACCCATGGGTGCTGGTGGCCTCAAGGACCACTTGGATGCTCTGCATAGTCACCCATAGCACCTCACTGGTGGTACTTTGTGATCCATATAGACGTCCATGGGTGCCTGTAGTGCCCCCAAGCAGCACCCATGGGTGCTGGTGGCCTCAAGGACCACTTGGATGCTCTCCATAATCACCCATAGCACCTCACTGGTGGTACTTTGTGATCCATATAGACGTCCATGGGTGCCTGTAGTGCCCCCAAGCAGCACCCATGGGTGCTGTGGACCTCGAGTACCACTTGGATGCTCTCCATAATCACCCATAGCATCTCACTGGTGGTACTTCGCGTTCCCTTTAGACCTCCATGGGTGCCTGTAGCGCCCCTTGGCAGCACCCATGGGTGCTGGTGGCCTTGAGGACCACTTGTATGTTCTCCATTGGGACCTTTAGGAGGTCAATGGGTGCCTATAGTGTCCCCCAAGCAGCACCCATGGGTGCTGGTGGCCTCGAGGACCACTTGGATGCTCTCCATAATCACCCATAGCATCTCACTGGTGGTACTTAGCGATCCCTTTAGAGCTCCATGGGTGCCTGTAGCACCCCTTGGCAGCACCCATGGGTGCTGGGGACCTTGAGGACTGCTTGTATGTTCTCCATTGGGACCTTTATGAGGTCAATGGGTGCCTATAGTGTCCCCCAAGCAGCACCCATGGGTGCTGGTGGCCTCGAGTACCACTTGGATGCTCTCCATAGTCACCCATAGCACCTCACTGGTGGTACTTCGCGTTCCCTTTAGAGCTCCATGGGTGCCTGTAGCCCCCCCCAAGCAGCACCCATGGGTGCTGGGGACCTTGAGGACCACTTGTATGTTCTCCATTGGGACCTTTATGAGGTCAATGGGTGCCTATAGTGTCTCCTAAGTAGCACCCATGGGTGCTGGTGCCCTCAAGGACCACTTGGATGCTCTCCATAGTCACCCATAGCACCTCACTGGTGGTACTTCGCGTTCCCTTTAGAGCTCCATGGGTGCCTATAGCCCCCCTTGGCAGCACCCATGGGTGCCTGTAGCCCCCCCCGGCAGCACCCATGGGTGCTGAGCCGCGTGTCCCCGCAGGTGTACATGCACCTCCCGCAGACGGACAACAAGAAGAAGATCATCATCACGGAGGACGGGGAGTTCAAGGCGCTGCAGGAGTGGATCCTGGAGACGGACGGCGTGAGCCTCATGCGGGTGCTGAGCGAGAAGGACGTGGACCCCGTGCGCACCACGTCCAACGACATCGTGGAGATCTTCACCGTGAGCTGCGCCCCACACCCGGCGCGCGCCCCATAGCCCACACCCCATAGCCCACACCCCATAGCCCACACCCCACATCCCATATCCCATACCCCACATCCCATATCCCATATCCCGTATCCCATACCTCACATCCCATACCCCATATCCCATATCCCATACCCCACATCCCATATCCCACATCCCATATCCCATACCCCACATCCCATACCCCATATCCCATATCCCATACCCCAGACCCTATATCCTATATCCCCATACCCCATATCCCACATCCTATACCTCATATACCCCATATCCCATACCCCATATCCCACACCACATATCCCATACCCCACATACCATATCCTATACCCCCATCCTTTACCCCATATCCCATGTCCCATACCCCATACACCCCATACACCCCATACCCCACACCCCATACACCCTCTACCCCATACCTGACACCCCACACCCCATACTCCACACCCCACACCCCATACAACCCATACACCCCATAAACCCCACACCCCATACCCCACACCCTATACCCCACATCCCATACCCCACACCCCATACACCCCATACCCCGTACTCCACACCCCATACCCAACACCCCACACCCCATACTCCACACCCTACACCCCATACCCCCTATCCCATACCCCATACACCCCATACCCCACACCCCATACACCCTCTACCCCATACCCGACACCCCACACTCCACACCCCACACCCCATACCCCATACAACCCATACACCCCATACACCCCACACCCCATACACCCCACACCCCATACCCCACACCCCATACACCCCATACCCCATACTCCACACCCCATACCCAACACCCCATACTCCACACCCCACACCCCATACAACCCATACACCCTATACCCCATACACCCCACACCCCATACACCCCATATGCCATACCCCATACCCCATACACCCCCACACACCCCACACACCATACCCCATACACCCTATACCCCGTACCCCACACCCCATACCCCACACACCACATACCCCCCACACCCCATACACCCTATATCCCGTACCCCACACCCCATATCCCACACCCCATAACCCGTACACTCTATACCCCATACACCCCACACCCTACACCCCAGACACCCCACACACCCCATACCCCACACACCCCATACCCCACACCCCACACCCCATATCCCACACCCCATACACCCCACACCCCATACACCCCATACCCCATACACCCCATACCCCATACACCCCACACCCCATACACCCCACACCCCATACACCCCACACCCCATACACCCCACACCGCATACCCCACACCCCATACACCCCATACCCCATGCACCCCACACCCCATACACCCCATACACCCCATACCCCATACACGCCACACACCCCACACCCCACCCCACACACCCCACACCCCATACACCCCACACCCCATACCCCATACACCCCATACCCCATACACCCCATACCCCACACACCCCATACCCCATACACCCCACACCCCACACCCCCCACACACCCCACACACCCCCCCCACACCACACCCCCCCCACACCTCACCCCCCATCCCACCCCCCAGGTTCTGGGCATCGAAGCGGTGCGCAAGGCCCTGGAGCGGGAGCTCTACCACGTCATCTCCTTCGACGGCTCCTACGTCAACTACCGGCACCTGGCGCTGCTCTGCGACACCATGACCTCGAGGGGACACCTCATGGCCATCACC